ACTTCTTTTATATAAATGTACTATAAAATGCTTTAAATATGTGGTCAAATTTTTATAGCAACCCATAAAGCTGCAATAAAATGTTCCATGTGATTCTGCAGTGAGAATACTTAGAAATACTGATATGATCATATCTAGTTATTTCTTATTTTACAAAGTCTAGAGGATTGTAATGAACTTTCAAATAAATTGCAAAAACGAAATATTTTATTTTTATCTCTGTTTAAATTTTTGTATACTGTTGTTTCTTTAGTTGGACTATTTTTAAAATTAGACACATTAATTAACACTTTTATTTTTCAAATCCCATTCTAATCTTCATGAGTATATATCTAGCATTACACTGTGGACCTCGTTCATCTTTTTTTATGACCTTTCTCTTAATTAATCATTTGAGTCATAACTTTTAATGGAAAAATAGCACTGAATTTCACATGTGAAGTATATTTGCTTAACATTTTTGGAAAGTATTCATGGCAAATTTTTACATTTATGGATTATTAACCAGTTTATCTTTCCTCAGGAGGTTCAACAAGAAGACAAAATTATTTCTGTATGAGTCATGTGTATAAATATCAACCCAGGAATAAAATTTCCATTTATCAAATAAATACAACAGGGTAAAACAGAGGTAAAGAAGAGCATATATTTCCAGCTTTGCACATTTTAACATTTCTATTCTTTCCTTATTCCCTATAGCTTATAGAATTCATATTATCTTGGTTAATCACCTTCATGCAGTTTATAAACAATCATTGGAGCAGGGAATAAAGATAAGAGAAAATAAACAAATGAGGAATTTAGTCCCTATCCAAGCTCCTTTCTGGAACTCAAGGAGTTGATGTTCTATATTTCCATGAAAATAATGATGATTGTGTGCAAATCTTCTAGAACTGGATTAGATGCTTAAATCACTCCAGTCTCCTCAGAAAACTAGGTTTGTTTTCCAAAAGAGAAAACACACACACATACACTGCAAACCACTTCTCAAGGAAAGAGAAGATTTCGGAATGAGAATACAAGAAGTGGAGGCTTGGAAAACAACTAAAGAAGTTCTTACTTAATAGATGTCTTCTTTGCACAGTTTAGTCAAAAGAAAGAAAGAAAGAAAGAAAGAAAGAAAGAAAGAAAGAAAGAAAGAAAGAAAGAAAGAAGGGAGGGAGGGAGGGAGGGAGGAAGAAATGAAGGAAAAAAAAGGAAGAAAACAAAATGAGTAATCAGTATAGGTTGTTAAAACTATATTTACAGCAGTATTTTGATGGTGAGAATATTTAGTTGTGATAACTTTGGTCCTTAAAGCTATACTATTTTGCAAAGTTCTACCATAAACACATCTCCAATACACAAGGTCATGAGTAGTCAGGAGAAAGTGTGTGTGTGTGTGTGTACATATATATATATATATATATATATATATATATATATATATATAGTCATAATTTGAGACAATGTATTACTGCCCATCGGCACATTGAGTATACCGCTTTCCAAATTCCTGTTTTGTATGATGAGAACTATATTCATGTATATGCCACTCAGTGTGTGAAATTATTTTGATCAGTACTTGAGTCTTTAAATGGATAAACATCAATACTAGCAGAAATGAGTGTTCAAATTTTTATTATCACTTTAAAAGTATCTAGTGACCATAAAATCCACCTCCCTGTATGACCCTAGTAATCTCTAAAAATTGTAATGAGAGTGTGCAAGTGTTATGAGAACATTTAGATAAATCCCAAGAAACTCTGCAAAACTGTAACATACAGTCTAAAGACAAGGAACAGTGATGGCATCTCGGTGCTAAGCTTCAAAATGGCAATCTACTCTCGGCCTGAGAATCAAGACCGTGTAGCTTTTATTTACTTTGGATAGTTTTATTTATCTAAGTGTGTTTGTGTGTCTGTTACGTGTGTGGGGATGCCTGTGAGGGTCAGAAGAGGATGTGAGATTCCCTTCAGTTAGAATGAATGCTGAGGACCTAACCCTTGTAAAGGATGTAAGAAGTTTTAACTAATAAGTTATCTATTCATGTTTACCTACTGTGTGTTTATATATTTTCTAAAGTACTTTGCTATATTTATATATCTGAGGACTTTTAATTTTGCTTTGTAAAACACTTTCATCATAAGACTTCAAAGTAAAGTAGTACATGACATTTTTGTTTCTTATAAGGTGTACTGATGTTTAGTTTTACTGTTAGAGAGACAGAAAGTCAAATGGATGGACATATCATTGCTTCCTTCATTACGTCCTGCAACAGATTTCCTCATCATACTTCATCCCATTTCCTTCATTAGAAAACAAAGATTGCCAATAAAAGTCAATTTACCAGGATATCATTGACTTGAAAAGTATATATCATCCCATTTAAGAAAAAAAAATAAAAGGAAAGATAAAACTGAGTTTTTCAAACTGTGGAGAGAGAAACAGGCTTATTCAAGCTGAGGATTTTTATAATTCAGCTCTTCTTGCTGTGGCAAGATGGTATAAACACCCCTTGCGATATATCACTACACACAGAAAATACTCTATCAAGACTCAGGACTGAAAGGAAGGCGTGACCTGGGGATTAGAGAATTCAGTTGTTTGAACATACCAACATCATGAGCAAAGTAGTATGCTTTAAGTTTAAGGACATAACCTTCCAACTAATGCAAATAGAAACATTAAGATACAAAGGGTAACTAATGCTTTAAACATATATAAAAGATATTTATTTTTAAAGACATATAAAAGAGATATATGTATATATAAATAAAAAGGGGCTAAAGTATATATTCTATTCTTAGTTTCAAATGATTTTTTCCCTGTACCTCATATGAAATATATTTTAAGTTGCAATGATTTTCTAGTTGTCATTAATTCAAATGAAATACAAGAATTCTGCAGGCTTGGAATGTGTATCTATAGAAGATCATAGGTACCGGGTCCTAAGTTTAATTCCGTAGATCACAAAACATCAATAATAAATGGTGTTCATAATCCTACATTGAGGTACATTCTTATTTGGAGTTAAATTGATCTTAAGGGTGAAATTTTTGTATGTACCAATGTTAGAAAGGTTTTGTTAAAAGTATTTTGTGTGGACTGGCAAGATGGCTCAGAGTTTAAGAGCACCGGTTACTCTTCTGGAGGTCCTGAGTTCAATTCCCAGCAACAACATGGTGGATTATAAACATTGTTGGTGCCCTCTTCTGGACTGCAGGTATACATGCAGACAGAACACTGAACAGAAAATAAATAAAACTTAAAAAGGTATTTTGTCATAATTTTTTTCTTCTTAGGACGGATGGTGGTGGTGGTGCATGCCTTTAATCCCAGCATTTGGGAGACAGAGGCTGGTGAATCTCTTTGAGTGCAAGACTATCTTGGTCTACAGAGTGAGTTCCAGAATAGACAGGACTGTTTCACACAGAAACCTTATCTCAAAGAAAAAATAAAGTTCTTATGTATAATATCTTAAGGCTAGTTATGTCACTGCCACAGAAATATCTTGATGACTGGAGAATAATATAAGTTCCATTCTATTATTAAGAAAAGTAATATGCTAATTACAGATGGTTTGGGAGCCAGAAGGGTCTTGTACCCAGAGACCTCCAGGAAAAATCAGGAATGTTAAGCACGTAGCAATGTCGTATCAAAGGAATGGGCATAAAACCTGTTCTTCCATCCAGAAAGCTGGGAATTGGAAGTTATTAATAGCTTAGTGATCTATGTTATCTGTTGGAACAGGCCATAACAAGCTCTTACAATCAGAACCAGAGGTGACTAGTAATATAATGACCTTTACAGCCAGAGGCTCCCAAGGCTCTCACAATCAGGAGCAAAGGTAGCTAACAGCTCAAATGACCCTTACACTACCTGTGTAGCCAGGAAGCTCTCTCAAATTCCTACAACCAGGACTAGAGGTGGCTATTAGCCAAAATGAATGACCTGTATGACATTTGTGTGACAAAGACCAGGGCAGATTTTTCATTACACCCTTAAACTAAGACAGTTAGCCGATATTCTTGGAAGAAATCACATTTACCCTGAGTTAAGTTCAGTGTAATTATGTTTTCTTGTGTTCCTGGGATTGTATTCTACCTGGATTTTTTTTTTTATGTCCCAAGTTTTTCCAATTTTCCCCCAAATTGTACTGTATTTAAATGTGTTGAGAATTAATTGCCTGGTACCAGACTTTCTAAAAGGTTTGATCCAGGTTGATAAAGTTAATCTGAGCCAAGTTTTATTCTTACTTCTTAATGGTATACTTCCGTGTCTGACACCTGTCGAGAGTCCCTGCCTGACACAGGGTTCAATTATCATCTCATCATCTGACTTGCTTTACCTAAAGCTAGCAGAAAGCAATCCATATTAAATCAAAACGACACAGCTAGTCATTCACTTTTTTTGCCAGTCAAAATGGAATTACGAGTCAACAGAGAAGCACACTTACAAAGGTGAAACCATTTGATCATGTTATATTTTAATTTGTAAAGACAAAAATGACAAGCAATTTATTTACATAAAACTGTACAAAAGCAAATTAAATTATGTAAAGGATTTCATAAATAGTTGGACGAGTGTTTAATACATTTCGCCATGTTTAGCAAAGTCGCGTGCATAGTGACATAGTCAATGATGATTAATTGTTCTCTGCTTCACTATCAACATCCAAGTAGCAGAACAATAGTCAGTGATTAACATTACAAACAGATCGTACCACACGGAATGCAAGTGCTTTAAAACGTAAGACACGTAGTCTGAAAGTAAACCCTAGGTAGCTGAACGAATGGCGCTGCATCCAGATGTCTCACACACACCACCCACAAGCTTCCTCATATTCCTGTTGAACTTTTCTCCTTTTTATTTATTATCTTAAGGATGCAGCTATTTATTTATGATCAACATAACCTATCATTTGAAATGTCATAGGTCTTAAGATTTCTCCCAACTGTTTCAAGATGGCTGTTTGATTCCTGGCAATTTCTCTCTGGCCTGTGTGTTTCCTTTTTATTTTCCTCTAACCCGGCCTCCCCAGGGTAGCCTTTCAGGCACACATCCTGTGTTCCACCTTAGTTCTTCCTCTCATAAAAATAATGCCTCCTTTGTTTTTAAAACTCAGACAACAGGCCAGTCAAAAAATCAGACAACAATAGTATCTGGAGATTCAGACAGAGCAGTTGACTTTAAACAGATGCTGCAGACATTTAAATACACATACGTTTTTACAGTTACTCAATTTGTAAGTGTGTCCTAATGTATAATCATGCAGAAGTCCACTTGAGAGTTTGTGTACAGAAAACAAGGAGAGTTTATATACTATACAACCAAAAATTAAAGAACACCTAAAAAAATGAAAAAATAAGATTTCTAAATCAACATTCTACCTTGCAAAATGGACTCATTTCACCCCTGATAACACTTTCCTATGTGATTGTAAAACCAATGATTTCATTGTCCAGTGAGATTTAAGCAGCCCCATATTAATGCCTGAATCCTATCTTATGAATGAACAATATTTAAGACTGGTCTATTATCCGAGTTTGTCAGAAGGCAAATTTTTAATATATTATTTATTCTCAGAAAATAAACATGGATAAATATACAGGATCAAAAAAGTTGGGAATAGCCCCTTTCCCCTCAATATCCAAACCCAACAACCATTTGTTTGTTTGTTTGTTTTTTACCATAACAAGAGGTATAAAAGGCACAGTTGCTTATTTTGCATTCACTCATTTATTTATTTTTTTGTTTTTATTTTTTTTTCAAAAGCACTCTATATATGGAGTGGCACCAGATTTAACCTATTCAAAATAAAAGTCATACAAACACAAAATATATTTCTGTGTCATGCCAGCTCATTATATAATAAACATGTTATGATAACTAATTCTACTAGAATTACTTCAAATACTTACAGTACACTGAGTTTTATTCTTTCACATCCATTTTAGTTCTAAAGAGAGGTTCACACGTTAAATGACAATGACATGGCTGCCTGGCATGTGGTGCAAACATCATTGTGGAATGTGGATTGAATAAATCTGTAGGTCCAGTGTGACCTGTATTAGCTTAATAGACAACCAAAGGATTTAAGAGTGAAATGAGCTATCTAGTAGCTTCAAGTGTCCCATGAAAGAAAGAAATATGCATATAAAAAAGTGTTGAACATCAGTGTTATGCAACTATTTCCTTTGTCACGTGCAAGAAAAATATGTATACATTTTCATAAGTATCTTTAGAAGTATTTTGTCTTAATAGGTACTTACAGATTATACAAGGCAGAACTGCTTGAATGCAGTTTTCTAACAAAGTTCTAAAATTTAATCTTTCCATAGTGTAAATCATAACCAAACATAAGCATGTTCAATTATTGATATTTTAGTCCAATGTTTTTTAATCTCAATTACATCTTGTTTCATTCTACCTATTATACATAAACTAACATCAAAAGGAAAATTCCACTTAAGAAAGAGCATAAGGAAATGATCCCAAAAGATCCACCAGAGAAATATCCCTCAAAGACAAAGTGTTTTGATGACCTACTGTGAATTATGAACCTATAGCCTAGGTTTCTTCACCTTAGAGTCTAAGAATTTCTGCAAAGCATGAAACTACCCAAAGCTACAGTGTCTCTACAGTTTTGTAGAAAGTCATCAAGGCTATGCCTTTACCAAGGTACCAACATTCCGTGATGAGAACATTTGTCCTCTTTACCTGGCATCCCCTTTTCTTTCCACGGATTGTCACTTTCTTCCGAATGTCCCAGCTCAAATTTCAGTTTTTAAAAATCATCTTGCATAGAGCAAAGATCTCAAAATCTGCATATTCTGTATCCCTTGACAAATCTACATATTTTACAAATTTGAGATGCATATAGTGTGATAAATATTACTGTCCAGGACTCAGTCTTTCTTGTGTAGAGATTGTTTAAGGTGCATATCAAATAATATTCTAATCAAAGTCAATCAAGGGGTTATATTACTTAAATGTTGTCTCAAAATGTTTCTGTATTGCACAGAATTAGAAATTAATGCACTTCTGTTCTGACCAAGTGAAAAAACGCAATAATTTAGAAAGGACAATAGGATCATCAAGAAAAGCTGGGATCCTAAAATGACAATAGGAGACCTCCTAAAATCAAATTCCAGTGTGTCTTTCCATATCTCACTATGCATCAATATGACTTTAAAAAGTAGAACCTTCCCTGACAGTATCATATGAGACTAGACTTGGGCTTTGATCAGTTGCCTATCATACTAAACTTGTGATTCATTAGTTCTTTATTTTTTTGAGCATTCAACTAAAATGCATTTTCAAATGAGACTTTTTCCTGGGAAAAGAGTTAATATAAAACAGGTTAATATCTGAGTGTATCTGTGTCTAAATGGATACCGTTGCTTCTGTTGTTTAGTGGATTTCTATGTCAAGACCAAATCAACCTCATTACATCCCTGATCTGTCGTGTGATCTTTGGCCTCATAATGACATAATAGTTCAAGTTCATTCATTAGTGATTCTATTCCAAAACATATTTTGCAAGTCATAATTCATGTAATTGATGTGTCAAGACTGGGTGAGTATAATCTGTGAATGTATGGAAAAGAAGTGAATGCCCTTGACCTGAAAATAATAATAACATATGGCATCTTGGGACTGCATTCTCCCACTGAGTTTTACTTTGCTCTTAATTTTTGTTTAATTATTAAAGCTGTAGTCTTCCTTATCAACTTTTTCAAAAAGGTCCCCTATATAAAGACTGCACCATTAAAGGGATTATTATTAATTCCAAAGGGCTGACTGTCACAATAATAAATTGTTAATCTCATGTCTGAAGTATATTTTCACCGGTCCTGCATTTCTTAGTCGGTCAGATGACACTCAAATAACTCAAAGTGACCAAAATCATGCTTCAGATTGGGGATAATGAGGGTGTGCTGTGTTCTGCTAATCAGACTTGTTACCATGAAAAGAACTTGCAATCATCTTTTTTTGTTGTTGTTATTTGGGGAGGGGTAGGAAAAAGAGAGTGGATGTTGGGGCTCAGTGAAGGGTGTAGACATGCAAGTGACAAGAATGGATTCTACTTTGTACATCGTTATCAGGCAAACAATATCACTAAAGGCCTGATTTGGAGGCGAAAGTGGCAGGAAAGCTTTGTCTCTTTGGTAGCCCCCTCCTTGTGATTAAATGGTTTTACTTTGTAATGGTTTTGCCCTTAACTCTCCTCATACATGAAAAGAACTTTGCTGTCGCTCCTTGACAGCCTACAGGTAAACTTCTCTTCTAGTGAGAGTGTTGACAGGAGATGGCTTATATTCCCCTGTTTTTGTTAAAGGAATATCCTCAGGGTTGGCTTCCTCACTTTTGCTGAAACTAGCTGCACTGAAGGTCTCGTAGGATGAGGTCAACTTTTTGTTCAGGAGGTTTCTGTTGCGATCACCCATGATGGCAGCTTCGCCATTGGCCAGCTTTTCCTGGCTTCCTCGTTCATCGACAGGCATGAAAGTGGAGAGTTTGGGCTGGCTCTTCTTCCTCTCAGGGGAAGTGCGCACTGGCATCCAGCAGGAGTCTGAGTGGCCATACTCATCACATTCACGGGTGCACTTGCCAGTCAGAGCTACATCCGGAAGAGGCCTTGAATCTGAAAAACAAGAAGAAAAAAACACCAGTGTTAGACATGCATCTAGAGGGTTTCCTGCGGCATATGAGCCTGCAACTCATTGCTCCAGAGAACAGTACTTATTTCATGTATAGTAAAGATAAGGTTTTGCAAAAAAAAAAAAATAAGTACTATGGAAGAGAGAAATGGAGAAATGGTAATTTGTGTATGTAAAATAAGCAGTTATATATTCATTTGGTATAGTGCAGAGGCATGCAGATATTCTCGAGTGCTAAGTGAATATATATTTCAATGGATTTTAATTTTCCACGTAAACAAGAAAAATTATTAAATCCTAAAACATAATTTTCTGTATCTATAAGTTCTCCTATAAATAGTCTGCTGTTGTCAATTGGATTCACTTATGCATTATCCATAGATACACAAATAGGCAGAACCTTATACTTAAAATATATTCTAAGCCACAAAGGTGACTGAGAAGTAAAACCTATACTGACAGTACATTAAATGATACTAAGTTCAAAAGCAAAGTACAAACAGGTTACAGGTGTGAGCACATTAGCAATAGCACCCCAAGTCCAATCCCATCACCCTCCATCCCCTACCACCATGACAGACGACCTAATGTGTGTGGGAAGACAGTGCCTGTGTGTTACTTGGAAATACATTTACAAGTGAGCTTGCTGAATGGAAATCTGGAATATAATGTATTGAATAAGTGTGGTTACATTCAGAAATGATCAATGGAAGGGCGTATGTTTCTAATTAATGTTGTTTATCAAAGGAATGGAAAATGTGTTTCATTTCCCAACACCTAAGTCATTTTTACAGAGTTCTTAGGGATATTGCGATTAAATATTGCAGTTATAGTATGCATGGATAAAATTATATACTTTCTTGAATTAAAAATCTACTTAATGACTTTTGCTAATTTTTAGAGAGATAAAGAGAGAGAAACTTGCTCTACCACAGCAGATTCTGAAACAATAACTTGTAGGTTTTAGTTTAATGCATTTCATAGTTTAATTTATTACTCATAGAAGCACAATATGATATCACCTCAATGAATATCATAATGGGCATTGACTTATTATAATTGAACTTAAAAATAAACCAATTCTGACTCCAACATGTACACTTATAAATAGTTGAATATTCATAATCCCACATACTTTAGGTTTAAAATGACAAAGGTGTTTATATGATTCTCAGCATTTTTAAGTTTTATTTTATAAGATGCCATAACTATTCAATCATTTGTTTATATTATTTTCCTTTATAGATGGATTACTGACAGATATTCATTGAAAGTATTCACACTACAAGTTGAATTCTGGGTACATAAATTCTTTAAGAGTCCAATGAAGTAAAGGTGGGTAGGTTAGAGAGACTGGTTATCAGTTAAGAGCACTGGCTACCCTTTAGAAGACTTGGATTCTGTTTCTAGCATCCACCCAGTAACTCACAAATTGTAACTCCAGTTCTCAGGAATCTGATGCCCTCTTCTGGTCTTCATGGATACCAGGCACACAAGTGAACACAATTATAACATGCAGGCACACCACATACCACCACCACACACGCACACCACACCACATACTACCACACACACAAACACACACACGCATACCTTCATTACTTTTTAAATTCTGAACCCGTTTGCTGCATCATCTCTTAAAAAATAAAACAAAAGTCAATGTTTTTTTATATGATTTTTGTAATCCATTTGAATTACATAGGGAATATGAAATTGGTGAAGATATAAAACCTATCTTGATTGACATACATACTTTGAATAGAAAAATAATCTGATCATCTCTATTTTTCACTCCAAGCATTTATTTTCCTCGTATCTTTCAGAAATTCAAAGCTCTTTTTCTCCTTATAGTATTTATCCAGCACACAGAAGAACACTGGCACTTAGTTACTGAAACAGGACATACCTTCATGGAAGAGGTAGTTATTCTCGGTTGAAATGACACAGAATTGTTTTCTATCATTTCATCCTGTTTCTTTACTTACATAATGGGCTCTGTAGCGAACTGCTTTGTAGAAATCTTTATTTCTGGTTTTAAACTGACTGCTCTGTTTTGTTTTGGTTTTTTGGTTTTTTTTTTTGAGATGTATTTAGAAGAGACTGAACAAGTATGCTGATGTTCCAACCACTCTTTTTATTACTTTGGTAAATTGTAAGTACTAAAGGATTTTATTCCTTTACATTTGATTCATTTTCTAATCATCTACTCATAAAGTATTCAGTCTTCCCCTCTGTCCTTACTTCACAATCTAGAGTATTTCCTACTAAGAATGTTTCCTTCTTACCATTTTTAATGACAGGCATTGTACATTTCCCCTACTGCAGTCTATTTCAGTCTATTTGCAAGCTGCCACTTCTCGATCCAAAAAGCACTCCTTCTAATAAGAACCTCCTGTCATTTCCAAAGTCAAGCACATGATTGGGGACCACAGTGCAGTTGACAAGCCTAATTGGCTGAGACATGTTGCAGTGTTTGGCATCAAATTTAGAAAATAATCAAGAACAACTATAAGGGAGTCATCAGGAGCAATCAAAACTTTCCGTCCTGATGACTGAAATAAGTCTTCAAAAGCAATGCCAATGATTAATCCATGCAATTTGTATTATGAAGCAATTTATTAAGGGAATTGATGAGTGGAATAGTAGTTCTCTGTGATTATATGTTTTTCTTGTTTCAATGATACAGGCATATATTATTATTATTATTATTATTATTATTTTAAAAAATTACATGGAAACATTGAAAATCATTGAGATTAATTCTTTCTTCCATAAAAGACTTTTAAAATATCCTGTAGGATTATGGGGGTCACCTTTCTATAACTATTACCTCCTTTTAGTCTTTAAAAGAAGTATTTTGCTTTTTGAGACAGGGTTTCCTAGAACTCTCCCTGTTGACCAGGTTGATGTCAAGCTTCTAAGCTTTTCTGTCTCTGAATCCTGAGTGTTGGGGTTAAAGGCAAGTGCCACTACCATATAGCAAAAATGCATTTTTTAACATCTGAAAGTTATTATATCTTTAATGCAGTATTATTCTAATTATTTTCAACACAGTAAAGATGGAAAACAGCTAATACAAATCTTGTTAGCATGTAATACATTAATAGACACGTAAAATATCCCATTTGGAAACATAATATTCTCTAAATATGATTTCAAGATAAAGCAGTTGTTTAGAGGTCTTGGAATTTTATATTTTCCCTACTCTTTTTTCTGCATATTTATTTATTTAGTGTGTGTGCGTGTATGAATTTATGTCTATACAAATGTGCACATTATGGAATGCTTCCTCATATCAGTGGACAACATGGAGAAGTAGGTTCTCTCCTCCTGTGATGTGGATCTTAGGAACCAAACTGAGGGCTTTAGCCTTGGTGGAAAATGCTTCACTTTTTTGAGCTCAAATCCTAATTCTTATGAAATATTAAGGAGAACCAAAATAGATACGGTATTCAATAAGTCCTCTCCTGCTTAACAATACTTGTGAAACTCTCCATTTTAAATGAATTATAAAACTTACTAGAGAGATTGCATTGGTTTGGAAAACTAAAGTCCTTTCATAAAATTAACTTCCTGCTCAAAAACACAGGTTCAAGCCATTACAATAGAAAAGAATCCTGGAGTAGTTTGGAATATGGGAAGTACATTCCTGTAGTCTCCATTTCCTTATCCCCTCAACTGGAGACCAAGGAGGGCAGATGCAGTAACGAATCAAACCTATAGAATATTGAGGCCAGAGGGGAAGTGTTCTGACTTTTAGTGTAGGGTGGCTTCTCCATTTTACCGCATTGCTTCTTTCTAAAATATAATAGAGGAGTTATTTAGAGGTCTATTGTTGCTACCCAACTCCCAAAGAGAAAGACTCCAAAGAAAAGAGAAGTATCTAAATAGCACAGAAAACTGATGCCACATACAGCTTACTACCTAGTACAAAGAAAGGCTTAAAACTCTTTTTTAAAAAAGCTGTAAATCTCCTAAAGTAGGGAAAAATCATACACTAATGTAACAAGTCAAACTCTTTCTCCAAAAGGATTTTTATTCTTACTAGGAAGGGAGGAAGTATGGGATCACAGGCAGAGACTTCAAGGTGCTGCTTTAACTACATCAACAAGAATGACGTACTCCAATGGAGGTGAATAGTGCGGAAGGGGGAAATCTCATAGTGCCTCAATGCCACACAAAGAACTAGAGGTAATTAATGCTAAGAACAGAGGAACTACTCTTCCCCAACGAAGAGCACCCAAATCATTTGTACATTAGCAAATACTCAGCCCTGAATTCATGGGCACACCAATAACATTATACAGATTGTGCATACGCATACACACAAACACATATCGATATAGATATATAGGTAGATATATGCATATATGTAAATATATACACATATACATGTAAATATATACACACAGACACACACACACACACATAACAACATTTAAGGAAATAGGCACCATGAGTCTAAGAATCAAAGGATATATTGGAAGAGATGGAGGAGGAAAGGGAAAAGAGGAAGTTCTGTATTAATTTCATTAAAAAAAAATAAAAAAGCAAAGCAGGTAAATAATATGTAGAACATTTAGAAACAACGATAAAACTAAGATTTACAGAGTCACTTAGTGTCTCCAGATGCCTGCCTATAGCATTTGACCCATCATTATTCTTGAAGAGCACAGAGGACTCCTTCGTTCAATTGTAGATGGTTTTGCAGGTGGAAGTTGGTGTATGTGATGATGCTTCTTGTCAGAATTCTGGCAACTGTATTTCAGGTCCTTGACAGGGACTAAGGACACACTGCTCATACCATTCACTAGTGAAAGCATGCAGATGTTGTGCTGGTATTTTTTTTTTTTGAAAGTAATTTTATTAAATTATAAAAAGTTTCCATTTACGCCCCTCGTCCCAACGGCCTCCCACTCCCACCCTCCCTCTCCTCCTCCCTCTTTGTCCCTAAGGGCAGTCAGGGTTTCCTGCCCTGTGGGAA